CCTGTCACTCCAGATAAAAGCCATTGAGCATTCCTTAAAGAGACGGCTGCGGCGAGGGAAGGGGGGGCATGCCCCAGGCGAGACGACGCACGTCGACGGCGCCCTGCAGCGGAGGGGCAGAGGGGGGGGGTGAGGATGGGCGAGGTTGAGAGAGGGGGGAGGGAGGGGGGAGGGGGGGGTCCGAGCCGCGTCAGGGACGTGTGTAGAAGGGTGTCCAGGGGGTGTCCAGGGGGTGTCTAGGAGCCGTCTATTCTCAGAGCTGTCTCGGAGCCGTCTCCTGCAGCGCCGGGTTGAGGGAGAGAGAGGCGGAGGAGGCGCTGAGGTCGCGGTCGGTGAGGGTGACGTGCGCCGCGCCCGCCGCCGCCGCCGCCAGCCCCGCGACACCGGTCCCCGCACCGATCTCGAGCACCCCGCGCCCTCGCACAAGGCAGGGTTGCGCGTGCAGCAGCTCCGCAAGCAGCTCGCCACCTCGCCAGACGGCCCCATGCGTCCAGTCGTCGCCGCCGCCGCACGACTCGACCGCCGCCGCATCCGGCTCGCCCGCGTGGGCTGGCGGCGCGCAGAAGGGGCTGCAGGAGCGCTCGCGCGCCAGCGAGACGCAAGGCTGCGCAACGCGGGGGCGAGGGTCGCAGGCGGTAGCCACGGACAGGGCGAGCATGGCGCGGAGAGGATGACGCGATCACCGCGCCTTTGCGAGCCCGATGCGGATCTCCTTGTCGCTGGGCTGCTGCGCGCTGTTGCTGCTGCTGCTGTCGGCCTGCTGCTTCTCGTGCTTCGCCGCCTCCTGCTTGTGCGCAAAGTACTCCTCGCGGTCCTCGGGCTTGAGGTCGATACGCGTGGCCTTGCGGGTGAGCATACCTGTAACGGCGCGGCCGGATTTGGCGCGGCCAGATGTGGGGCGAGGATGCGCCAGCGGCCGGGGCGAGCCTAGAACGCTGTTCGAGGTGGCCAACGCGAAAAAAGAAAATCGCGCAAGCGCGACCTCACACTCTCTCGCGCCTCACACCCGTGAGAAAACTGGAGAGAATTGCCAACAACCAACTTCGGGGGCAAGACTCTCTCGCTGGCCCGACGCCCACGCCCGTACCTTCTCCGCGCCAGTCCACCACCAAAGCTCAGTGCCGCCAGCCCAGGCACCCACGCTCGAGTCAGCCACGCCTCGTGCTGGCGAACCGCCCCGCCACGACCGCCGCGCACGCGGTCGCGGCGAGAGCCACCGCCAGATATGAGTGCTTCTTCTGCGCGTGCTCGAGCTCATCAATGTAGTGGTTGACCTGGGCCATGAGCACCTCCATCTCGGTCGTGTCACCCATCAGCATGGCCGGGTGGCGGTCGCCCTCGGAGATGCGCTTCGAGCCTCGATCGTGAATGGCGGAGAGCTCTCGCTTGTCGAGCGGCGGCGGGTTGCCGCCCTCGATGTCAAACATGCCGTTCGACTCCTCCAGCGCGCGGATTGCGGCGACATCTTTCGCAAGGACCTTCGGGGAGAGGGGTCGGTTGGCGCTTCTCCGTGCGGGGGGTGGGCAGTCACCAGCGATGCGCGCGCCTCTTCGTCGGCGTGGATCAGGATGCAGTTGCCCGGCTGCGTGAAGAGGTCGATCGTCTTGGTGATGCGGTCACCGACCTTTACAACCTCGTCGAGCGAGCAGAAGGAGCGAAGGGCGCGGATGGCCTCGTAGCCAGGACGGGCGGCCACCGTGCCCTCACAGTAGGACACAAACTCCACCACGCAGCCGCTCCCGGCAAAGGGGTATGGGGGGATCGGCGGGATCTTCTCCCAGGCCTCTGGATCCAAGGCGCTGTCAACGTAGGCCGTGCACTGGTTGTAGCTGCCGGTGAGGGCCGAGGCGAGCGGGAGCCACTGCCCGCTCAGGCCGTGCACGCGGCAATTGACCTAAGGATGGCGGTGGGAAAGCGAGCGAGCGTGGGCGTGAGGGTGGTTGGGAGAGGAGTGGGCTTCGCACCTCAACCAGGCAAGGTCCCTCGGACGTCATCATCACTTCCGTGTGGGTGGCACCGTTCGTGATCTTGAGCGCTGTGATGGCACAGCGCGTGTACTGGATGAGCGACTGCGCGATGGCGGAGACCGGGTTGACTGGGTACATGCCAAAGTAGACAAACTGCGACCCGTTGCGCGGCCGCTTGTCGTACTTCCACACCTAATAACGAGTCCCTCGCTCAATATATCAATAAACAGGAGAGGTCCTCCGACAGAAAGGTCGGCGCCATCATCGTCTTGTGTTCGCCATCCTTGGTCACGTGGTCCACGACGTACTCGCTGCCCTTCAGGAACTCCTGTGGTCGGGAGGTCGCAGGGAGTGGTTCACGCGTCGTGCCGCGCTCTTCAGTCTGGACAGCAGACTCGCCTGTGCAATGACAGCCGCCCCGTGGGCGCCGAGCGCCCGCTGCGAGTTCATCAGCCGGTGAAAGTGATCCTCAGCCTCCTCGAGCGTGGCGCACAGCTTGACGCCGTCGGAACCGGCCGACTCGACAGGTTTCACAACTATCGGCATCTCCTCCGTCTTGCAAAACTCCTCCACCGCGCCGCTCCACGTCGTGCCTGAGACGCCGCGGACGGCGCGGATGCCCGTCGCCCTCAGCGCGTCCTGCTGCACACCCTTGTCACGACGGCCGCCCGTCCATGGAGCCACGCCGTTGCCGGGAAGGTGCATGTGCTCCGCGAGCGCGTCGACCACGTTGACACCGCTCTCACCACCGCACAGCACAGCCTTAATTGACTCCTTTCCCGCCGCAGCCTTCAGCGCCTTGGCCATCTCCTCGATGCTCATGGTGCCCTCGCGCACCACACCTTTGTACCCGGTCTTTTCAATCCAGACCCTGGTCGCCTCGCCGACGTGGTCCTCTAGGTCTCTCGCCTAGATTGCGGCACAAATTCTGTGATTTTGCGGCATAGATTCAAAAAATCCGCCTCGACGAGTTTGCAGCATGCGGGGAAGGAAAGACACCTCTGCGGTCCAGAGGGCAATGACGTCGAAGCCGCGCTCTGAGAGGAGGATGGGGAGTCTGCCGCCCGTCGAGTATGGGTCAGCCACGACGACGGCCATCGCTCTCGTCGAAGGCGCTCAGTGCCGTGGACGAACGTCGATCGCGTTCTCGGCAAGTTGGACGGCCCGTTTCTTTCCTTTGTAAAATTCTTTCCTTTCTCGTGCGTTCCCTCTGAGGCATCGGCGGAGCCTCTTGAGCACTTGAGCACTGGATAGGGTCGATTCCGCATGGTACGGGAACCCCATTCCACACGGTTCGAACGACCGTACGTGTGTATGTACATTACAGGGCATGAGAGAGCCCACATCCGGGCACGGTTCGCACGATGTGCTCTATGGGTGACAAGAGGCGCGAAGCGAGACGGGCTACAGTGGGTTGCGGGCATTAAGAAAACGTCGCATTAAGAAACCCTACCAAGCGATTTCCGCAAAAATCTAAGAAACCACGGGGCGCCGCAGGCGCGGCCCCGAGAAAAGGCCAGACACGAGTGTGAACGGGTCCGGAGCCCCAGCTGCAGCTCAAAATTTCTCTTCGCCTGGGCCTGCGGCAGCGCACTTGTCACTTTTCAAGTCTGCGGTGTTCTGAGTGGAGTGGAGATGGAGGCGTGTGTGCGTCTTCCCGTCATCCAGAGAGCCGACTCGGCGGCAGACTCTTGGCATCGCCCTCGCGGACCGAGCTTTAACACTCTTCTTACCTAAAAATCCTTCGGGCCGGCGCTCTGGCTTGATTGAGTGCCCCGCCCGGAGCTAAGAAACCACGGCGTGGGGTGGATGAGGGCTGTGGAAAGGCTTAGAAACGGCGGCGTGCCGCGGAATCCTGTTTTCTTAATGCCCGCAACCCACTGTAGCGGGCCCTGAGGGAGGGTGTAGAGGATGTAGAGTGTAGAGCGCTCGCTGTCTGTAGAGCTGTAGAGCTGTAGAGCTGTAGAGCGCTCTGGAGCGCTGTAGAGCTGTAGAGCTCTACATCCGCCGCGGGACAGAGCGATGCAGATGTAGAGCGATGTAGAGGCCCTCTACAGCGTGAAATCTCTACAACAAACTCTACATCATATAAAGCGGCAAAGAGGCACGGTCGCTCTCCGACATGAGGCGCGTTGCACTTGCCAGTGCTGCCCTGGCCTTCTGTCTGCCCGCCCAATGGGTGGCAGGTGCCTCTGCTGCTGTGGCATGCCTCACGGCTGCGACTGGCCGGCGCCTCGGCGCGTCAGCTCGGCTCGGCGCAGCGATAGTGGCCAGCGCAACTCGCCTGGACTCAACGCTCAGCCAGGAGCTCCCGCACGCGCTGGCGCGAGGCATGGCGCATGCAACGCGTCTGAATGCTCGCCTCGCCTCGCGCAAATGCGACCGTCCTCGCAGCCGACAGTCCACCGCCTGCTAAAGAAGCACTGCGACGAATGCGGCACCGGCGACACATGGCAGGCTGGTCATGACGCAGTTATAGGGTGTTGTGTGTCGTCAGAGTGACTCTCTGTGTGTCAGGGATAGTCAGGGCCGTCCATCAGAGCTCCAGTAAGCTCGGAGACACCCCATTAGTGCGACTCGACCTCTTTGAGTCACTGCCTTCCTGGCGGTTTGGCTCTGTAGAGCCTCTACAACAAACTCTACAGCAAAATCGCGCTCTACATCGCTCTACAACGCAGGCGCATCGTCACGCGGCGGATGTAGAGCTCTACAGCTCTACAGCGCTCCAGAGCGCTCTACAGCTCTACAGCTCTACAGCGCTCTACACTCTACATCCTCTACACCCTCCCTCAGAGCGGGCCACACAGGCGCCAGAGGCGACCTGAATGCAGAGGTGTGAAGAGGCGCGGCATCGGCCGGCGCCGACCTCTCTAGGTTAGCGTTGGAGACGCTGGCGTGGCCCTGCCACGCTTCTCGATCATTCATCATCGCGCAGACACGGAGGGGGGCTGGGCAGGGTTCACCCACATGGCAGGGCCCAGGGAAAGAAAGAAGAAACAAACAAACAACCCCAGGGAGGGATGGGAGGACGGCACGCCGCCACCACACAGGGATTTTAAGGAGAGGAGTGTGGTGCTAGCCGTCGCCCACACCCTTTGGCGTCTGCCTCTTCCTATCTCTCTTCGCAGTCCCTCGCCGATTCTCGCTGCAACCTTCATGCCACCTCGCGGTCGTCCCACTCTCGTCGTTCCAGGGATTCCTGTCACTGCGAGCACAAAGGCGGCTCCCGTGGTGTACCTGTGTTAGTGCCAGTGCGCGCCACTGTCGTAGGTAGGTAGGTGTGTCGTGCGAGGGTCGGTAGCGAAAGCGCGGAACAAATTCTTTTGAAGACTCGGCGAATTTGAAGTTGTCGCCGACCGATCCGAGCCAAGGCTCTCTCTCTCGTCTCTCGTCTCCCTCTCGTTCTTCACGGGCGCGACCCTCTCCGAGGCCGACGATGTCACTCCCCACGCCACGCTCCCCGCTCTCGCCGCTCTTCTCTCCCAACGGACGCTCTCCCAAGCTCGGCCAGCGCCGCTTTCCCAAGTCGCTCTCTGCTCCGCTCAACTACGACTCGCCCGCCGCGTGCGATGATGAGTGCGAGTCGTCGCCCGAGGCATGGCGGCCGACGGCTTCCAAGTCGCTCCCAACCTGGCTGTCGCCCGGCGGGACCGTCGCCACCACCGGCAACGACGAGGCGATCGTCGCGGCACCGGCGCCCCGGCGGACGCGGCGACACGGAGGAGCGAGCATCCTCCTTGTCCTCTTCTCGCTCCTCGTGTCCGCAGGCCTCATCTACCCCGCCTGGCGTGCAGCGTCCGCCGGAGCGGCGATGCCGGGCCCTCGAGCTCCGTCGGCCACAATCGCCAGCAGCGGCAGCAGCCAGCTCTTGCTGCCTTGCGGCGCAGTTTGCCGGTGGAGCTGGTCGCGCTTAGCCGCAGGCCTCGCACCCTGCGGGCCGAGAACGGCGTGCCGCTGGCGCGTTGCGTGGCCGCTCGGCACGAAGTGGTGCGCGCCCGCCGCCCGCAAGTGAAGCGCGCAGAAGGAGGGCCTGACTACAGCCAGCGGCCACGACTCGGCTCTCGGGGACTGAGGGGCCTCTGGCCTAGCCTCTGGCGGAGCATGCCGTTTGGGGGAGATGGCGCTGGCAGTGGGCGCTCGATCGAGGGCGCACCACCGCAACCACATGGGCTTTTGGAGTCCTTGGCGAGGCGCGGGCGGACGGGTGACCGACGCATGTTCTGCATATGATCGCATGGTGTACTGTACTGGTTACTCGCGCTACTGCCTACTGCGTACTGGTCCTACTGCGCGTCCAGGGGCGCAGAGTCGAGTCCCCCTTCTTTTGCGTTTTGGGCGCTTCTTCTGTGCGTCTCGTTTAACTTTAAATTAATGATGTCACAAGGCTCAAGGTCAAGCCGACAGGCATCAGGCTGGGTAAGAGTGTATAACTCGCGCGCGAAACTGTGTTCTTTCTAAAATGAATTTCTATTACCAATTATACGTACGTTACAAAGGTAAAACCCCATCGTAGTTGTTGCACCCCATCGATCATCGTCTCGCGCGGACATGCATGGATGCAACAAAGGGGGACTCACTCGCGGCCGGCGCTCGCTCCCTCGAGTGAGAGAAAAGAGAGATATACAGCGAGGGGGTCAGAGGTGTGTGAGCTACCTACCTACATATTGGCGGCGGGTTGCCGCGGGGGCAGAGCTCAATAAGCGGGGGCGGTGGCGGCTCTCGACAGAAGCTCACACCAAGAAGTCGGCAGTGGCGGAGACGCACGAGCTTCTCCTCGGCGGCGGCGGCGGCGACGGCGGCAGCGACGGCGGCGGCGAGGCGGTAGGCGAAGCGGGCTCCGAGGGCGGCGGCGAGGGCGGCGGCGACGCGCCGTACCCGGTCGTCGCGGGCCGAGCCGCCTTGGGCGAGCCGATCCGAAGCCGGCCCAGGCCCAGCATGCTGCGCTGCGGCTTGCGGCGGCCCTGGGGCGCCGGGGGAGTCGCCTCCGCAGGGGCGGCGACGGCCTTTGGCGAGTGGCCCTTTCTCAAGCGCAGCTCGCACGCCACCCGGTCCACCCAGTCCTTGTGCGAGGCGTACAGCGCGGCGTAGCGCGGCTCGGCGTCGTCCACGTCGAGCCAGGTCACGTTGTGCGCGTCGTCGCCCGCGCGGAGCGGCAGCTGGACGGCGAGGTCGGCCGTGCAGTGGAAGTGGAACGCCGTCGTCTCCATCCACGCGTTGTCCGTGTTGCGCGGGTCGTCGACGTAGCCGCGGTACACCACCTCGCCGTGCGCAAACAGCTCGTCGACGGCCGCGTTGAAGGCGGCGCGCTCGGCGTCGGAGGCCATGTTGCCCGCCTCCTCGGCGAACTCGCGCCGCACCGTCACCGACACAACCTCGCCCGCGTCCACCATCCCGCCCGGCAGCGCCCAGACGCCCGTGTCGCCGCGCTGGATGGCGACAATCTGCAGCTTCCGCTTGTCGCCGGGCTTCCAGCGCGTCACGATCGGGTCGGCGGCCCGGTTGGGCCCCCACTTGCCGAGCATGCCCCGCCCGCACACGCCGGTGCGGCCGCGCGGGTTGACTGGCCGCTGGTCCGCGTCGAAGAAGAGGGGGCCCTCGCACGAGAGGCGGTGCTTGAGCTCCGCGAGGTTCGGCCGCGGGCTGTCGGCCCAGCCGTTCGGGTTGGTGTCGCTCCGCTCGGCCGCGAGCACCGAGGGGGCCACGAAGGGCACCGGCGAGTACTCTGGCCAGGGCACCTTCCAGCTCACCTTTGCGTCCTCGACCGGGAAGCGCGGCGGGTACTTCGGGTTCTGCTGCGACCGCGCGTGCACGTGCGCCGTGGAGTGCGCGGCGAGCGCGCGCTGAGCGTCGTTCAGCTGCTTGCGGAGCGACTCGACCAGCGCCGCGTCGGCAATCGGGGCTCCGCCAGCCGGCGGCGGCGGCGAGCGCGACACCTCGGGGCTCACGCTGAAGCTCGCCAGCGGATTGTTGGAGAAGGACGCCAGCCCGTCGCCGCTGTGGGGAGAGATGACCGAAGAGCTGACGGGGGCCGTCGCCACGCCGCCCCTGGCCGTCGCCTTGTGCGCCGTCGGCCGCGGCAGCTCCGTCGACGACGCCGACGTGAGCTCGACCGGCGAGGCGCCGCGGGGGGAGCCCGAGCGCGGAGACTGCCGCGGCGTCATCTCGGTGGCGGAGCTGTAGCCGGTCGCCGACGCGGCGCCGGCGCGCAGCGAGCCGCCGAAAGGCAGCATCGTGCCGCCAGGGTAAGGTTGCGCGGTCTCGCGCATGTGCGCGTGCAGGTTGATGAGCGACTCCTGGATCTCGAGGCACTTGTCGGTGACGCGCGCCTGCTCGAGCTGCAGCGCGGAGATCTTTGTGTCCGTCATCTCCTCGCGCTCGCGCTCCTCCTCGTCGAGCAAGTCGGTGAGCCAAGTCAAGTCCTGCCGCGCCATCACGTCCAGAACCGCCTCGGGCAGCGTGTCCGAGAGCAGCGGCACCACCTTGACGCCGCGCCGGTAGCCGAGGCCCTGCGCGCGAGAGGTCGACATGCGGCGCAGCTTCGTACTGTTCGGGCCAAGCCGCAAGACGCGCGACCTCTTCCGGCAGCACCGCGGCGTCATGAACTCGAGGCAGCGGCGGCAGGCGGCGGCGAGCCTGCTGCAAAAGAGGCCCGACATGCCCTTCGAGATCTCGGCGACGAGGAAGGGGAGCGAGAAGGGGGGCGGGATCCAGAAGACGGACGACACAAACTCGTCGACGACGTAGACACGCGAATACTTCCACTCGTTGTCGGCGTTCTCCTTGATCTTCTCGTACGTCTCGCTCATCATCGCGATGAGCAGGTTGACCAGTACGACCTGACGCACGCGCGGAAAGAGAAGGGGGTGGGGCCGGCGGGTCGCGACGGGGGCGAGGCACGGCGTACAGCGCGGCCGCGCGCCTGCGTGAGGAAGGAGAAGGTCCACAGCAGCATCGGCCCGAGCCAACCGCCCGCAACGCCCACGTTGTGCAGCTCGCCGAACTCGCCGAAGAGAGCCCACCACGGCAGCGCGAACGCGCCGTCCGTGTCGAAGCTGCTCTCTCCGAGCGACGGCATGATTCCGACCATCGCGGAGCAGAAGGCGGCCATGACGAGGCAGAGGATGAAGCTGAAGAGCATGATGTCCTTGGAGAGCTCCTGCAGGATGATCGAGAGCACGCCGATCTGCTTGTAGATTTGCAGCCACAGGATGGGCCGCACGAACGCGTAGATGGCGCACACCGCGAGCACCACCTGGGCGTACCACAGCGGGTCGCAGCCGCGGTACACGTTCGACCAGATGTCGAGCGCGTCGAGCTCGCCGTCCTCGCCCGCGACCGACTCCGGCAAGGGCCCGCCGCCGCCGCCGCCGCTATCGCCGCCGCCGCCGTTGTGCCCGCTTAAGAGGGCCCTCCCCCCGCCCGGCGCGTGAAGCCGCCGGGCGGCGGCCTCGAAGCCGACAAAGTCGCCGCCGTCGAGGAGCTCGCCGAGCCTCCGGTCCTCGACCACGCGCTCGATGGTCTGCGTGCCGAGCCCAATCACGTGGCAGAGCGGGCCGGCCGTCAGGCGGACGGTCGAGGCGAGCGCCTGCGCGGTGAGCGTGATGACGTCCATCAAGTTGGCGGCCGAATCGAAGTGCACGGCGCCGGCGCGGAAGTGGGTGTACCACTGGAAGAGCTCCTCGACCCAAAAGGCGTAGCAGAAGACGGCGAAGACGAGCTCGAGGACACCGAAGGTGGTGAAGGTGCCCGGGTGCGACATGAGCACCGTCGTGTAGACGGCGAGGAAGCAAAAGTACGACACCACCTTGAGCAAGAATTTGACGCGCGGCACGGCGAGGAACCAGCGCATGTTGAGCCACCGGATGTGGAAGAGGCCGCGCAAGCACTTGAAGCAGTGGAGGCAGCACAGGCAAGTGCAGCACTGCCCGCAGCAGTTGAAGCAGCACGCGAACAGGTTGTACACCCGCGTGCAGAGCCCGACCCCCGGCGCGAACGGGCTCGGGTAGCAGCAGCAGGGCGGTACCTCCTCGAGGGTGTCGAGCGCGGTCGTCGCCATCCCGCCCGCGCCGCCCCAGCGCGAGCCGCCCGCCCCGCTGTCGCGCCGCGAGAGCGAGAGCTCCTGCGTCTCGTCCCGCTCGTGCAGGCGGTGCCTGCCGCCGAGTGCGCGGTAGGCCAGCGGCGGCGGTGACCGCGGGTCCTTGTCGTCGCCAGAGTTGGCGCGGTTGGGCGCGACGAAGTCGGCGAGCTGGAAGGCGGCCGTCGCCTGACGGCTGGCCTTCTTCTTCCGCTCGAGGTTGTCCCACGCGCTCGCGTCGAGCTCGACCTCCTGCTTGTCGATCGTCCGAACGAAGAAGTGCGCGAGCACGCGCAGCGAGCTGACGCTGGACGAGAGAGCGCCGTCCGAGCCGTAGAGGTTGCCGCGCCAGTACTCGTCGATGAGCGTCTGCACGTACTTGTGCCCGACGAAGCTCTTGCTCTCGCCCTCCATCGCCGTCTGCAGGATCGTGCCCGGCCACGTCCGCGACGGCCGCATCAGCACGATGGTTGCGTGGCTCTGGGTGGGGCACTTGTCGAG